TTTTTTTTTTGGCATTACTGGGGTTTGAACTCAGGGCCTCACACTTGCTAGGCAGCATTGTTACTGCTTGAGTCACTCTACAAGCCCCTCAAATGCCTTTTCCCTGCTCTGGTTTTGTGAGATTTATCACTTGCTCCCTTGAAGGCAGCCTAACATTGTTCCGGAAACTCTGGGCCAGGCCTTGTACCTTCTACACCTGCCCATCTTTCTTCTCCTTCCCCTTACAGATTTTTTGTTTTCAGTTCTTGGGATCAAACCAGTCTTCTAGATGTCTGTTTTTATACCTGAGCTTATCCTAGGGCTTCCTGGGAAGCCATTTCTACCTTTTTAGACTAAACTTTACCTCTCCCATTTGAATTTTCAGAATTTCACAGTAAGAGACGCCCATCTCCCTAGAAGGGTCTTCCCATTTTAGAGTTCCTGTACATGGACTTATATGTCCTCTGACTTTAAGAAATGGGAGGGAGTTGCAGCCCTGGCAAAAAAAAAAAAAAAATCAGTGAGACTCCACCTCAACAATCAATTGTGGTGGTGCATGCCTAAAATCCCAGCTACACAGAAGTAAGGTAGGCAGATCGTGGTCCAAGGTCAGCCCCAGGCAAAAAGCACGAGACCCTATCTAAAAAATAACTAAAGCAAAAATGGCTTGAGGTGTGGATCAAGTAGTAGAGTACCTGCCTAGCATGCACAAGGCTCCAAGTCCAATCCCAGTACCACCCCCACCAGAAAGAAAGGCTTCCTAAATTCTTTAGCAGGGCTTTAGGGCAGGTGGTGCAGATGGAAAGAGAGGCTGATGGCATGGGAAGGCAGCAGGAAGAGTAAGTGGATTCTATTCACATAATCAATAAATACATCTGCAAGGATGGAGATGGAGAAGGGAGATTAGAAGAGGGCTTGGAGGTGGGATGAGTTTCAGCAAAGACAGTAGAACTAGGAAGACAAGGAGGGGATGAGGGGACAGAGGGCACGCTGCAGATGGACGGAGCAGATGAAAGTGGAGCCAGAGGACCATGACACAAGAGAGGCACACTGGTAACCAGAGTGTGGGGTGGTCAACTCACTTCTTCTCCTGGGTCTTCTTGATGATAAAGGTGATAAACTTCTTCAGCAGCAGGACGAAGATAAGGAGTCCGATGACCCCGCCCACCACGGCCAGGATGATGAGTGTCACCGTGTTGTCCACTTCTTCCACTGCATGGCCAGAGTAGAGAGGGGAGGGAGGAGAAGGGGACAAGAGTCACCTGGTGTCAGCACCATGGCATTGCAAAGGCGTGTAGCCCCAGGCCACTGGCCCTCCCAGACCTACAGATGTAGGGAAGCTGGAACATGGTATCCATCAGCTAAGAACACACAAAGGGGCCCCGTCCTTTCAGCCTTCTGCACACATTCTCCCACAGACTCACATACCTCATCAAGAATGAGTAAGAATGAGAACCCACAACTCCAAGGCTTGAGTCATGACTTGGCCCTTAAATTGCCAAGTGAGAACTTCATTGCCTCCTTCCAGGCCAAAGGCATCCTCACAGCTTCCTCTCTTGTGCCCTTTGGACACCCCTACTCTACATACCTGGCCACCCTGAGAACACCCATCTCCCTTGTCTGCCTTATTTCCTATTTATAGCACTCCCCATGTTCCCTCACACAATATAATCTTTCTTTAGTTACATTGCTCCTTTGACTAGAAGAGAAGGAAAGCAATGTCCCCAAGGACAGGAATATGTCTGTCTCGCTTACGCTGTACCCTGGGCACCTACAACAACCACGGCAACTTAGCAGGAGCTCGGGAAATAGTTGTTAAATGCATGAATGCATGACTTGCAAGAACAGAGAGAGGGTACACCTGACAGGGACTGTCGAAGAGATAAGGAGCTGAGGGGAGAGCTGTACCTCAGTGTCTGGCACCCAGTGGTGCTCCATCAATGTCGGTTCCCTTCCTGAAAATGCTGAGCATAAAACAGAATGACAGGAACCCAGAGAGGATAAAGAGATGAGCCCAACTCAGATGACTGCAGGCTCAGAAAAGGCCACCTGACAGGTCTCTGGCTCAGCCCCTGACACACCGAAACTGTGCTCCTGGTGTCCCCACCTCCAAGCACTATGCATTATCCAGGAGGGCACACAGAGACAGCAAGAGGAGTATCCTAGAGCAGCTCCTCTTCTCTTTCCTCTGCTCCTGCACTCCCTGGTCTTCCAGGCTCCTCCAAGGCATGAGGCCCAGCGTGACTTCTCCCACGTGTTTCTCTAACCACCAGCAGTGTCTGGGGTCACGTGATCACCTGGCTCTTTCTCATACCCACCCTCACTGTCTGATTGGTCCACCTGTGTCCCACTGGAATTCCCAACTAGGAAATAAGCTCCCAGAGGGGAGGTCCCATGTCTCATTCCATCTTCCTCCCCTGGTGTATGTGTCAGGCTGCCCCATAACAGTTATCAGTTCACTCATCTCTGTCCTACCTCGGACTGTAATCTGTGCATCATTCAGTAGGAACACTGCAGCATTCACAGCAGTTGTTAGTATGACACCTGACATTCAACCAACGCGCTTGCTAACAGAATACACACACAGACAAAGTTGATACCACTAGACACTCCCGGCTAGCCCCTCCCACCCTCAAAACCCCTGGAAGGTGCCCATTTTACAGACCAGGAAAACAAGGCTCAAAGAGGCTAGGAGGATTTTGCGAGCTACTCAGTAGCTATATTCTTCTAGCGTCTAGATGGAATAACTCTTGACAGAGTAAAGGGAAGGGGATCAGCAGCGCAGCCTGTTTTGCCACTTCACTGTCACGCTGAGGCAGGCACCCTGAAATCCCTCCCTTTGCACTGCCCATGTCCCCTTCCCCGGCACACATTTATCAACCACTTGGAGGAAGACGGTGGCATTGTGCTCGGCCCTCTCCTTGGGGTTCTTCACATGACAGGTGTATTTGCCCGTGTCGCTGAAGTCCAGGTTGCTCAGCTGAATGGAAATATTGTTCATCTTCTCCCTCGTGGTGCCCTCCAGAGTGATTCGGTCATCGTCTTTCAACCTCACCTTGGGGTCGACCTTCTCATTCTTCACGATCCCATCTATGAGCTGGGACATAGAGGAATCAGTCACCAAGGGTCAGAACCTCACCCCAACCCCCTCCTTAGGTGCTACCCTGTCCGGGTCCAGGAACAGCTTACAGTGAGGTGTGCTCGGGACTCCTCACTTTTCTCTGCCAGGGTCAATGGCTCTGTCTAACCTGAATTTCGCCTATTCAGGCTAAACCAATTTCCCTTTATTAAGATCGCCCCGGAACATTTCTCTTCATAAAAGCCTTTTACATAACGACTCTGCAAATACACCACTTCCCTCTGCACTTGCCACCCAGACTTTGTTGACACTGTGTCCCCTGCCCCACTGAATTCTGGCCCTCCATCATGACCAGGGTCAATGCCACACCTCTGTCCATCAGCACCCTCTGATGTTAGCATTTAATTCTACCCAGAGCTGAGTTCCTGTGGCTGCTCTGGGTAGGCTGGGGGCAGGGGGTAAGATTTCAGAGAACTTCCTAAAACACTTGTTGACTAACTCGCCCCACTCCACCTGCCTGGCCCCCATCCATGTCCTCTCCAGCTTCTTCTCTCCAGCCCTTCCTTATTTCGACTCTTCTCATTCCCTCTACCCAAGTCTTCCAAAAATATTTCCTCTCTCCTGTTTGGGGTGGTACTGGGTTTTGCACTAAGGTTCTCATGCTTTTGCCACCTAAACCACATCCCCAGCCCTTTTTGCTTGAGTTCATTTTTAGATAGAGTCTTGAATTTTTGCCTTGGCCAGCCTCAGGTCACGATCCTCCTACCTCTGCCTCCTGAGTATGGGATTACACTGGGATTACAGGCCTGTGCCACACCCAGTTCTTAAACTATTAATTTTTACACAAAAAATCCAAGTTCCAGGTTTTTCTTAAGACTAGACAGGATTCTAGCCAAGAATTCCAACAGATCCCAAATTCTGGCAACACCATCTAAAAATCCCTCCCACTTAACAGTCTGTCTGAAAGGAATACTAGGAGAAAACCTAGGTGGGTTCTGGGAGCCGCGGCAATGGGGTCCAGTCCAGAAGGGCCCAGAGCCTGGAATGGGAGGCACGGACAAGGGAGGGAGGATGTCCTGGCCTTCCTGCGGTGACTTACGGTCTTGGACATGTCACTGCTATTGTAGGACCACCAGAAGTGGAGATTCTCGAAGCCAAAGCAGCTGGAGAAGGTGCAGGGCAGCAGGATCGCAGTGCCGTTGACAGCGTAGATGGTGGTGGCCTTTCCCACAGATACCTCCAGCGACAGGGACATGGGGAGCAGGAAGAGACCTGTGTAAGGGGCATGGCCTCCCTTAATAAAACCCTACAGAAGCTCTAGAAGGGGACGAGTGGCTTGGTCAGGCAGGGCGACCTCTGTCACCCTCAATGTCAACTTCAGGAGGATGGTTTTTACTCCATCCACATGGCCTGGGCCACCCACCGTAATTCTCCATTTCTCCCCTTAGGCGGGATCGAATTCTGAGCGGTTTACAGCGCTTGTGCCACTCCTGATGACCAGCAGGGGTCACCCCAACCCAACAAAAGGAGGGCCGGGCGGGTTTTGCGGGATCCGCAGCGCGCCCCACCCCCTCACCTGAGGATGTAGTCCCCGAAAGTGTCCCGGAGGTGCGGGGTGGGCTCCCTCCTACGCGCGTGGGAATTTCCCCTAGAGCGGTGCGCGCTGCCGATGTTTGCGGGTTTGAGGGAGGTGATGGGGAGAAAGCTGGGGGTGCCTTAAGATGGAAGAAGAAAAAGCGGCCGCCGCAGTGCCTGCACTGTCCAGTGGCCTCATCACCTTGCCCTGGAAGCTCCGGCCCGAGGCACAGAGTGACACCTTCGGACTGGACCTTGCTTGGCCATCGACCACCGAACGGGATCCTGAGAAGAGAGGGATGACTGACCGGGCCAGCTCGGGCGAGGGCCCAGCTTGGAACCGGGCAGCAGCGCGGACAGAGCGAGAGAAACAGCAGGAATGGAGAGAAAAGTCGGAGACGCTGCGGAGCCCATTCCGGGCGAACCGCACCGCACACGTGCACGCTGGGGTGGCCGCCACGGACCCCTTGTCCCATCCTGCCCGGGAAGCTGGATATCCCCATCACACCCAGCAGCCACACTCCGCCCCCTCATCCCGGGAACAACCGCGATGCCCCGCGGCTCCTCGAACCCCCTCCGCAGTGCATTCCTATGCCCCCGCCCAGGCGTTGTCATTCCTAGCCCCTCCTCCTCCTCCTGCGTTCTTGTAATGGGACCTGGCCCTCACTCCTCAAGGAAAACACACTGGCTTCAAGGTCGTTGCGGGAAAGGAGGTCCAGAATTGGACTTATCTCTCCTTACACTTAGGACAAATGGAAGCCTTCTCCCATCCTAACTCAGGAAGGCCCTCGGTTGTCTAACTTAATTTCCTCGTGCTGCATCATAAACCAGTTTCCTCTTGTTTTGCATACAGGAGAAAATGATGTTTGGTGCTTCCAAAGCCTTCTAAACCTCAGAGACGGAGCTCCAAGGAGAGCTGGCAGCCTGAGTCCGGCTGTCAAGGGTCCCCTCACCTTCACATCCATTTGCTCCAGTGGTAAAGCAGAGTGGTCATACTTGCCCCCAACTCTCTACTATTAGAGATCCATACTAGAGATAAAACAAGTGAGCCTGGTGAAGATAGGTAAGTTGTCTAAGTGTCAACAAGAGAGACAGTTTCAGCATCCCATAGTCCCAAAGCAAGAAAACCCTCCTTGCATCCTAACAACATAGCCAGATTTGCCCACCATGGCTCCAGTTAGTGCTGGGAGGTGATTTTAATCAGCCCTCATTTTCTGTGGTTTTCAAACTTGAGAGGCATCCAATCACCTGCAGGGCTGAAGCTGCTGGAGCTGGCATCTCTAAAAAGCGGGAAGTGCTTTGGGTAGCAGTTACACTTTGAAAAACACTGTGTTAGAGGTCTTACACATATCTGTGTGTGTGTGGTGGCACTGGGGTTTGAACTAAGAGCTATATGCTTGATAGGTGCTCTACCACTTCAGCCACTCCACTACCCTTTCTTGTGTTGGTATTTTCAAGATAGGGACTACCAAACTATTTGCCTAGGCTGGATTCAGATCTTAGTCCTCCTGATCTCTGCCTCCAGAGTAGCTAGGATTATAGGCGTGAGCCACCAGCACCTGGCAGACCTACACATATTAAACCCCAACTTTTATTAGAATATCAAAAAGTAGGTACATTTTTTTTCTCATTTTACAGATGATAAAATTGAGGCTCAGAGAAGGGGCAGTGACTTGCCCAGGGGGCAAGGTACGTAACAGCCAAAATGGAGCCGAGCATTTATTATATGGTAGGCATTTTTATATACTGTCTCATTTAATCCCTAAATAAGTCTAAGGCAGTTATAAACAAATGGAGAAATGGGTTCAAAGAGAAGAAGTTGTGATGGCCTGTATACACCAAGGAAGTAGATAAGCAGCACTCAGAAATACGTCTGTTTTTCACCTCTTCAAAAAAGTAATTTGTTGGCTTAGTACTCCTAGTTTCCTTTTTGCCTCTGTCCTCCTCTACCCTGACACCCTCTGGAGGACTAAGGAGCAGAGCCAGACATAGGTTTCCACTCTCTAGCACTAAAGGATGGCCTTCTGGTGGGAAACCCCAGCTCTGCTTCTCACCCCTTGCATGGTCCCCACAAACCAAGGAGCAGAACGCAGAGGGCTCAGGAAAGGCAGCTTCCTGCTAGCTACCAGGGTCCCTCAGAGCTCCAAGGAGCACAGCAGTTCTCACTCCAGTGCTCACTGGCACCACAGTCCCTGAAACTCGGTCTTGGGGAAGATGTGGGAATTCAAATCAGGGGCCAAATTCCCCTCACTCTAGCCCCTGTTCGAGAGCACAAAAGAAGCTGGGCATACCTATAATCCCAGCTCTTGGGAAGCTGAGGCAGAAGGATCTAGAATTCAAGGTCAGCCCGACTACATTGTAAGACTGTGTCTCAAAAAATCAAAACAACGACAAGAGTACAAAAGATGCATGTCAAAAAGGAAATGCTTTTGATTGCTTTAAATAGAAGCAAAAAAGAGCAAAAGAAGAGTCCAAACCAGAGAACACGATTTCTTTACAGTCTGGCCCACAACACAGTGTGCATTTCTGCCTGATGTGGATGACTTAACTTTAATACACTCAGGAATCTGAGTGGAGCATTGCTTTTTCGTTGGTTGCCTGGAGGGGATAAAGGGAACCACAGAGATGGTTTCCACGGAGTCAGCCCTGACCAGGTTAAGGCATCAGAGAGGGTAAGCAAGCCTGGCTATCTCCACCACCCAGCCCACCCACCCAGGTGTCAGGAAATCCTGCCAGTTACGTCTGGGACATGGATGCACAAGAAAACCCAGGGGCCTGCCTTCTGCACCGCCTCACCTGGGAGGTTATGCTTCAGGAAAAGGAGAGAGCAGGGGCGTATGATCCACCAAGGCCCCTGGCTCTCCAGGGCTGCTTCAGCAGGATGGCCAAGTCAGGAACAGACTGCTCTGCAGACACCAGGCAAGCCCCACTCTGCCTGCTGACCTTGAGAAAGTCAGAGATGCCTCCTCAACGTGCACATCCCCAAACTGGTGCAGGGACGCTGTAAACTTTCCTATCTCCCTAGCTTGGTGTGACGCCAAGACATGAGATTATAAAACAGAAGCAGGACTTCAGTGAGAGCGCATCCTTCTGGTAGAGGAGAGTGGTATTTGAAAGGGGGAGGGGGCTGTCCCCATCCCAGACTTGGATGTAACCTGGGCACCAGTAGCTTCCCTTAATGACCAGTGTCAGCCAAGGATGTCTCCAAGTCACTCACACATTGGTTGATGCTCTCATCCGGTGCCACATCTTGGATTATTTCCATGTGGCTGTTTCCCTAAGTAAAGGGCTCTTTGCGCTGCCGTGAACTTATCTCTTTAGGATATCCATGTGGCATGCGCGTGTTTAGGGATGGGCCATCTTTCTGGCACTGTGGGATTGATGAACAAGTCTCCCTGGTTGTGGTCCTGAGGAATTCAATCCTAAATCCCACAGTCTTGCCACTCTCTGAAGCCATTTTCCTTGCCAGCCTCCTGCCACTCTTCTGGGACTTTGTCCAAGGCTGAACTCAAGATTCTCAAGTTTAAAGTATTAAAGTAAAAAAGTACTCAGCACATGCAAATGTTAGTAAATAGTCACACCAGCAGGAATCTGAAGGCAACCACCATATATTCCAAGGTCAATGCCAGGCAGGAAACATTCCACCATCTTTTCCCACATCCACCCTGAAGCAGAGGGAAGAAAGAGGGCAGGATGGGGCCTACTCTAAGTTTAGCTCTGAGCAATGGCAGCATGGCAAGTGGAAATTCAGCTGAGACACTGGCCCCAGGGAGTTAGAGTCAGAGCTGGGAGACAGAAAGTGGGCTGAGAGCGGCAGGACAGGACCCCTCCTGGGGTGGAAGCCCTCGGGGTTATGGGAGGCAGGGCTAGGCTAGGCAAGCCCCCTGGGCCAGAGACAAAGAAAAATTTCGGCTTCCTTGCCCTAGGCAACCGCTGCTTCCTGCCAACCCCCGGGAGCTTTGGCTGGCCCCTGAGACAGCCCTAATGATCAGTGAAACCAGCTTTGCAAACAAGTCCAAACAGTATGCCTGGCCCACCTCGCACAGGCCACTGAGCAGTTGTGTTGGCCCAGCCCATCCATGGCTTATGTGGCTACCCTTTCATTCCCTCAAGGACCCACAGGACAGTGTGGGTCACTGGTCCAGATTCCAACTTCCATGCTGCTCCCACCAAGAGGTGGTCAGTCATAAGGGCTTAGAGACCAGCCTTCTCTGTCCCCACACGCTTGCCTCCAGCAGATTCAGAAAGAAAATTAACCACCCCTTCTAGATCCAAACCCACCACCTCCCTTCACTGCTCCCCTCTCCTCTCCTTTTCTTCAGGAACTCCTGATTCACCCTTGGCTACTGCTTCCTCTGAATTGGAATGAACACCCTCTCCTTAATTGCACTCTCATTAAATGAGCCCTTAATAAATATACACCAAGGGGAAGCTGGTTGTGCAACACAGCACCTCACAAGTGATAATTAGACCCAGATCCCAGCAATTAAGCAAATCAGGAAACAAGGAAGGGGTGGGCAGGACAGATACACTACCAGTTACATCCTTAGGAAGAGGCTGGAACCCACATAAACCTCCATGATAGGACCTAGGAAACTGCTTTTCCATTTCAGAAAAGAGCATTTCATTGGGTTATCAAAAATCATTATGATCTCAGTCTATGGGGCCGAGTTTGATATGGTGAGAGGGGAAGAGGACTCCTGGGACCCAGTCTCCCCAGCTGTGAAAACAGCAGCTCTGCCCCCTGACCCAAGCTGCCTCATTCATTCTCCAGCCCTAAGGAAGGGTGTGTTGACTTTCCCTGTCTCCAGACTTCTGGTAAGAAGGAGGCAGCCTTAGTGTGACTGAGCCCAAGAGGCTGGGATTCTGTCTCACTTGACAATCAATCTGCCTTGCACCCTTGGGCAAGTCCCCATTCCTCTCTGGACCATGGCTTTCTTGTCCTTAGGAGAGCTCTGTGCTATAGTTTCCAAAGTCCTTGTTCACTCTGGTGCTCCCAGGGGACAGCTCCAGCTGGCTGACCTGTCCACTCTGCATCTCCCCCACTTGACTGTCAGCAAGGATGTCAACTGTTGTCCCAAGCTCATGGCAATGCCCCTGGGTGGGTTTAATAGTGCTGGCCTGGGCAAAGCCCAGAGAGGCTGGGGGGTATAGCAAGTAGGGTCAATCCAGGGCTTGCTGACCTCCTACCTACAAGTTGCTCTGCTTCCTCCTGGTCTCCCAGAGAGTTAGCTCAGGGGTTCACCCAAACCTGCTCTAGAGAGGCCCTGCTCCTACCTGTTGTACCCAGCTATACAGTTTTTAGAGGAAGTGGGGGCCTCCACCTGGAGAAACACACAGAGACTCTGCCACTCCCCTCCCCATCCACCTCCGTATATAGTTTCCAGAACCCTCTTGATTGCCCACCGAAGCCTGGTTCCATGAATATTCTAGTATCCCCAGGGCCTGGCACGCCATCAGTCAACCAGGTGCAGGACGCAAGGCTGCCCTCAATGTAAAGTGGGCTAGTTTAATGATGGGAGGAATGACAATGCTTCAGTGACTCTTGACCCTTACGATGGCTACAGGGGGACCAGGGCTGATTTGAGAGGGGACGAGAGAAAACTCATGTGGGGGAGCCTCGGGTCTCAGAAGCTGGCTCCCTTAGAGTTATTGTGAAATGCATATCACATCTGTGCAAACGGTACAGAGGGCCTTCTGTCTAGTTTCAGAGATGCAAATAAACCAGTGGCTTCAGAGCAAAGAGATACTCTATCCTCTCCACCACCAGGTACTGACATGACAGGTCTACACATGGTTTACAGGTGCAGAAGCAGCAGTGACTTCCCTTGGAGGCCTCTATCCCCTGCTTACACCACAAATGCCTGACCAAACAGGGGAACTGTCAAAAGCCAAATCTGACAAACACAAACAGAAAGAGGCACACGTGCCAGAGACCGAGTCGGCTTACAATGAAGTTGTGTGATTTATGAGATTACATTCGGACTAGTAAATATCATTCCCTAATCTCTTGGAGTTTGACACTGAAAACTATCATGTGCATATTAATAGATAATAATACTCCGTTCCCTCTGTGTCCACTGGACATGTCTCCTTGGATTTCATAGTCACCCCAAAAATGAACAGCCAGGAGCAGGCCAAACAGGTCCTCCCTACAGAATCTCTTATGGGAAGAGAGACAAGGCCATTCCTAAAATGTGGCTTTTGAGTGGTTCTCAAGGCCCTCCCAGCCCTTCCAGTATGTGAAGCTTCAGGGAAGGCAATGGTACCAGAGAAGGTAGAACTAGAGGAGCCTAGCAGAAAAAGGGTTCAGGAGGAAGGGGAGCCCCTTGTCCCCCTTTGGTGCATGTCTGATGCCTGGGAAACAAGCCAACAGGTCTGGGCACAGGTACAACCCACTGGCATCCCCCTACACCCAAGGCGCAGCGCCCTCCCCAGCATGCCTGAACCTCAGAACTCTGGAGACCGGGACCCCACTGCAGCCCCAAGACCCAAAAGCCTGGAGCTAAAGGGACCAGAGACGGCAAAAACTCATAGCGAGGCTGGCAGGCTGATGGGATTGGGGGACACACACACACACACACACACACACACACACACACACACAGTCCCCAGAGAGCACAGCCTTGGAGCTAGACGTCCAGCGGGAAGACGGTAGTGCTCCTTCTGTGCCGCACTCCAACGCCCACCTTATCCAAGGCACCCCTCTTCTCAAGTGTCCCCTCCTTGGGGGTGGGGTAGGGAGAGAAAGAGGCGAGAGAAGAGACCAAGCTGGGGCTGCCTTACCCAAAAGCCCAGTGCCCAGCCATCTCGCCAACGCTTTGCCTTGGTCCCCAGCCCCGGACATCGTCCAATTCTCTTCCGAGCGCGGGGATGGGAGACTGGGCACCGCCGCGCTCTCCGCCCGAGGTCGGCAGTCGGCCCCGCAGCTGCTGGGGAGCTCTGCGCCTCCGGTCGGTCGGGGCTTGGGAAAGTTAGCGGGGAGAGAGCGAGACAAGGGGGAGGGCGGGGAGGGGGAGGCGCGCTCGCCCGCCTCCTGGAGCCGGCAGCGGGAGCCACGGCTGGAGGGCAGGAGGAGGAGGAGCCGGAGCTGGAGGGGGAGGACGCCTGAGCCAGAGCGAGCGCCGCGGCGAGCGAGGCTGCGCCTCGGCTCTGGAAGCGCTCCAGCCGCAGGAGGGGCGGTGGCCGCCGCGGAGCCCCGGGCGCCCCGCCCGCTGCGCACCCCGCCCCGCGCGCCCTCCTCGTGGTCCCGGAGCCCCGATCTCAGGCTGGACTCCCCGATCCCTCTCGAGCGGGGCTGCGCTCCTGCTGTTTGGCACTGCAGGGCCGGCCCGCAGCCGCCCGCATCATCCTAGGAGCTGAGCTGCCAATTAGGAGCATAGTTTAGGGGGGGAGTAGAGGTGGAGCTTTTCTGTTGTTGCAAGACTGTTCTGCTTGGAGAACACCGCTAGGGTAGCGGCTGCCTCTCCCGGGACACAGGAGGGACAGCTCGAAGGTCCGCAGAGGGCGCTGCCGCAGCTGGTGGGCGTGTGCCGGCTTGCCCACTGCGGCCGCCGCGCGCGTGTAGCCCCAGGACCCGCGTCCACTGCTCATCCGCTCTGCAGGGAACCCAGCATCCCGCTGCAAACTGCTCCGGCCCACCGCCCACTAACTAACATCCCGCATTTCTTCAGACACTCCTTGCAAATCACCGTGGTCCTGGTGAGGGAGCTGGTCAGATGCTACCAGTCCCCGCCTGGTCTGTGGCCAGAGCACAACTTTACCCTTCACTGCACCCCAACTCCTCATTTTTCCCACCTAGGCCATCTCCTTCGGTCACCCTCTTCCTAAAAGTTCCTGTTCCCTTGGAATCCAACCCGCGGAAAATAGAAGTTATTTTACATTTGCTCCCTCCTTTCGAGATGTGGAGGAGTCCAGGGTCATAACCGGGTCAGAGAGCTGAGGTGACATTTGGAGCCAGTGACCGTTTTCCCAGACATGCCTGAGTTAAAAGTGTGATGTGATCTTTGGGGTGGAGATGCGGATGTCCCCCTCAGTGACCCCAGTGGCCCACCAAGCCTCAGCTGTAGGCTCCTGATTTTAGAGGGACTGGCACTGGCTATGCCCCTTCTTACTGGACAATGAATCCAGGGGACTACAGGAGGTATGCACCTCCTCTCCTTCTAGACTGTACCAAAGGTCCAGGATACTGTAATTTCCTGCTCAGAGTGTCAGAGCAGACCTCTTCCCCAGGCCTGTCCAAAAGCTGGCCACACGAGACATGCACCCAGAGGCACGGGAAGTGGAGCCAGCTATTTGCAGGCAATGGAAATGGATGGTGTGTCCCTGTTGCTGCAGGACCTGAATGGCCTCAAAATCCCATTTTACACCTTGTCTTCCAGGTCACCATGAAGGAAAATCATCAAAGACAGAAGATAAGAGATAAATTTTAATAATTTTATTATCCCAATTTATAACTTACATTTAGAAGTATATGTCATTTCTGTTTGGACTCTTACCTCAGGCCTCAAAACCATCAGAAGTGGACCTGAGTGTAAAGACCAAATGACATATTATTGCATGTAGAAGGGTTTAACAGAGTGCTAGTCTCAGGCCTAACACACTGCACATTTGAGCTCAAAGAGGTCTGTGGCCCCAAAGGCAAAGCTGTCTCCAGGTCTGCAGGTTTGACCTCTGCTTACCCCAGGGGCTCCCTACACTACAGTGACAGAGCCAGGTGTCCACACCACCTGCTTTATTTTTACAGTGGGTCATATTTCTCATAGCAGTAAGTAGACTGAGGTCAGAGAGGAGATGAGCCAAAGGGAAGGAAAGTGACCCCTGCCTGGAAAAGGGGGAGGGAGGGGAACAGAGCTCCAGAGATATCTTTAGACCCTGGCGACCAAAGAAGGTAGCCAGTTCCCTCCGATGCCCTCTCCCCCATTTTTCCTGCTGTCCCCACTGCTTACTGATTCTTAGAACTAAAGGTTTCTTAGGAAACCCCCACACCTCACAGATGAAGACATGGACCCAAAGAGGGAGAATGTGGGTGCCAAGGTCACCTAGAAAGTCACTGGTAGAGCCAGGGCTGGAACTTCCCCCACCATTCGATTTCCCACTCCACCTCTCTGCTTTCTTCTAAAGAACACTGGGAGGGCTCCATAGCTGGGCAGCAAAGTGCTTGGGAAATGCATTAGTGGCCAGAGGAGAGGAGTTTTGCATTTAGACAGCACTTCCCTCACAAATTCTCAGAAACCTAGGCCAGGGATGGGGCTTAGTGGCTCCTCAGGAGGATGCCCAGGGAGAAGGTGACAAGGTCACTGTTCTCCCCCCCCCCGCCCCCCCGCTGGAAAACTGAGTGTAGCTCCTCTTCACCCAGCTCAGGAGCCCCTAATCAGTGGGGGAGGAGGGGGAGGAAAGTCCCTCCTTGGGGGTCCCACCCCCTACCCCTCATACCCCCACTGTGGACGGACAGCCTGCCTCGTGGGGATGGAGTAATGCACTCCATTTGGGTGGCCTGGCTCAGAAATACGTTGAAAAGTAAGTTTTCAGGGATACAGTTACTTTGAGCCCTTGCCCAGAGCCGTCAGAGAACTGTCCACTCCCAGCCTGGCCCAGACAGAGCCTAGGTTTAAGGAGGAGGAGGGAGGAGGCTGTCTCCTTGGGGATTGGGGAGGGTTCTTTGAAGCAGTTAGCCCAACAGCCTTCTCCCAGACCAGGCATAGACTCAGCTGATCACCTCCTCACCTGCCCTCCTGCGGGCCAGATCAGAGTAAGGAAGAACAGGCATCCCTGTTTTCCAAGAGGGACCACCTAGAGAGGAGTCAGTAATGGGGGGAGGTGGGATGGGCAGTAATGGGGGCAGATCTCCAGCTGACAGCCTCAGAGCTGCTCTGACACCAGAAGGCACTCACTCACGGATGGGTCACCTTCTACAGGTGACCACAGCAGGTGGAAGGACGCCTCCCCTGTCATTTCCCAGCAAGCCAGCCAAGACCCCATGCAGGGAGGAAGGGAACCAGAGAGTTGGATGAGGTCTCCAGAGCTATTTTGAGAGGAGTTCCTCTTAAGTAGCAAGAGCCTGGCAGGGAGCCTCCTCCCCCGCCTCTGGCTCCCCTATTGCCCTTGCCTACCACCTCCCTCTCCCGCCTCCTCCCCCAGAAACCCTCGCGCACTCCTGTCAGGGCATTGCAGGTAACCAGAGGCAGCTCAGTGCTGACTCCACTCTAGGAGCCAGAGGACATGGACTCTGCAGGGAGCTTGCCCCACATCCTCACCGACCTCAGATCAACACCAAGAGCTGCATCTGCACCTCACCTACCCTGAGCTTCCCTCCGCTTGTAAACAGGGCTCCAGTCTCAGGACCAGGGAACTGCAGGCATGGGATTTTCTGCATTAAAGTTAAATGCCTACAAATTCTTCTACCCTTCAGGTTGGGGGTGGGCAGGCACTACCTAGACCAGTGTTTGGGAGCCTCCTTCTGACACACCCAGGTCTGCTTTCAGTCCTTTCCTGCTTACCACCCCCTCCTCCAGCTCAGAGTGCCCCTGACCCCCAGTCACAGTCTCAACATGCACTGTTTGGCAGGTGCTGAGTGGGTTAACAGGACAGCATGCACCAAACCAGCCCACGTGGCTTAGAATCCAGCAAGGGATGCTGCATGGCCACATCAGCCTCAGTCCGGCTCCCCAGAGCCCCTGGGGCATTAGCGAGTTGGTCTAAAGATAAACTCTTTCTGTACCCTCCTCCCATGGAGAATCCTTCCTTTCTTTATCTGTCTACACTTTCTAGAGGCTCTGGGCTCAGGCAGGTAGGCAGCCATCTCCGCCATCCCTCCCTTCCTCTTTTTTTGTTTTCTGCCAGGTTCTGTCCAAACATCCTTTCAAGCAAAGGGGGGTGGGGAGCCCCAGACAGATGAGCTCATTGGAAGGAGGAGAGCAGAGGGAGGAGGGATCGGAACCATCCAGGCCAGAGAGATGCTCACCGGACAGTCCCAAGCTGGAGAGGGGTGTGTGCCCACTTCCAGAAGCAGGCATATACTTCCCTGGCTGCAGCTCAGAGATGGGGTGAGTCCTGGGCATCTTTTTATTTGGGGCCACGTTGGGGTGGGCTTTGAAGCCCCCCGGGGAAGAGTCTCAGCCCCCCATCCAGCACCCCAGAGCTGCGTTTACCTCTCTCTCTCTTGGGTATCTATCCCCTGCCCTCTCACCAGTGGAGGACGGGGGCTTAGGAAGGTTGGGGGCTGGAGACATTGGGAATGTTTATTAGTCATTGCAGCCTGGGGCCCATGGTACTGCTGTGTCAGCTGAATGACCAGATGTCTTCCTGGAACCTTAGAAGTAGATGTCCATCCTGTCCCTGAAGTAGGCACCTGAGACAGAAGCACAAAATGGTGTGGAGTACCCAGCAGGACTTACTAAATCCATCTCCAGAACATCTTAGTGTGGGAGCAGAGGGTCTGACAAGGTGAGGACCAGTGTGGAGTAGGAGAGGAGATATGGCCTATGGCTAGGGAGGAAGAGGGAGAGGAAGGGAAGCAGGGAGGAGGGGCATGGAGCAATGGGGAGTCTTTCTGGAGTAGAAGGCAAACTTTAGGAAGTTGGAGTGTGACTCAGGCTGAGGAGGAGGGGTAGGGACAAGGAGAGACTGGCCAGTAGGTGAGGAAGAGGATTCACAAGCTTTCAGTAAGAAGGAAGAGGAGTTAGATGCCCAGAGAGGAGAATGTGGCCAGCAGAAGCTGAAGCTGTTTGCACAGAGCCAGGAGTCGAAGAGCCAGGCCACATAGTCGATGTGAGAGGCCCATTGGGAACACTTCACCTCTGCTCCCAGATATGGTTACCCTTCCATTGCAGTTCGTGATCATTTTGAAGTTGGCTCAAGTCACTCTTCCCATACACCCGTTAGCCTTTGGACTGCAGGAATGCAATCCACTGTCCTTTCTCATGGTGTGATGGGATGGTTTGGGCCTCATGTGGCCCTGGGTCCCCAA